ACTGGAAAGATTTATGTTGGAGCCTAGAAATATCAGTCTTGGTGAAATCGCCTTCTTGCAAACAACGGTACGGACACCTGCTCTTTTTTGCAAAAGGGAGCCAGCATTTTGTCCCTTGAAAACACCCCACTGCAAACCCTGCTGAGAAATGACCTGGATGAGGAATAGACAGGGTCTTGCATTCGTGTGTGAGTGTGTGTGTGTGCGCGCGCGCACGTGTGGGTGTGAGCACGCGTGTGTGTGATGTTATGAATGTATGCATGTATGCACACTGTGTGCGGCTGTGCTCACCCATGCCGGCATTTGTGGAAGCCTGAGGTCAACCTCAGAATGTCTCCCTCAGTCACAGCTCCACTTCATTGCCTGTTTTATTTTGGGCAATAGGTTCTCACTGTGTAGCCCTGGCTGGCCTGTCACTTGCTATGTAGACCAGGCTGGCCTCAAACTCAGAGATCTACCAGCCTCTGCCTCCCAGTGCCAGGCTTTAGGGTGTATGTATGCCACCAAGCTTGGCTCCTTGCTTGTTTTTAAGCCAGGATCTGTCACTGAACATTCCCTACCCACACATTCCCGTGGTGGTCCCTACTCTGCGCCCCAGTGCTGGATTACAGGTGTGCACTTCATACGGCTGCTGGGAGTCTGAACTCAGATTACCCACTGAGCCATGCCCAGCAAGAGCACACAGACAGCATAATGGCAAACTGCCTCCTCCCACACGTGCACTTTTGAGCTGGGTGGACCGTTATCTAAATGAGTGGAGGAGGGCATGGTCAACTGTCCCCATCGACTGAAGCAGGATTGCATCAGAATGTCACTAAAGTTGGACTTTGGTGATTCATTTCAATGGTCACAGATAAGTTCTGTAGGGGACACACTCACCAACACCAACCTCCAACTCTGAACCCTCGTATCAGGTGTGGCAGAGGCTTCTGAGCTGAGACTTACAGATGCGATCTCAGGGTGACCTCTGAGGAACTGGAAGGAGAGTGCTCCCTGCTGACTGGAGAGCCGTGGGTGGCCCATTGGGTGAGCCTGAATCTAGGCAGTGTGGTTTGTATGGTCTCTGAAGTGCCTCAGCCAAGGCTGGGGATGGGGGGTGGATTCTCCCAGCTTAGCTGCAGAGCGAGTGAATATGTGGGCACAGAAAGATGAATAAAAACATGAGCTGTCATCTGTGGAGACAGCTGTCACCCAAGTGCTTGCTGTGTAGCTATTAGGACCCAAATTCAAATCTGTAATTCCAGGACCGGGAAGGCAAAGACAGGAAGATACCTGAGGCTTGCTGGCCAATCAGTGAAGACAAACCTGCCAAATTCAGACTCAGTGAGAGATCCTGTCTCAATATAAAGTGAGGAGCAACTGAGGAAGACACAAGGCATCAACCTGTGGCCCTCACACATATGTACACACACACACACACACACACACACACGCACACACGCACACATCCTCGTGAAATAAACAGCCATGCAAGACAAACATTAAAAGAACAACGCTTGCAACATCCATAAAGGTCAATAGCAAAACAAAACAAAACAAACAGGTTTCATGGCACTTGTGGTACCCATTAACTTGTTCACTTGTCTTCAGCCCCAGATTCCGGAAGAAATCCTGACCTGTGCTTACAGGATAACTAGGGCACACAGCATCAAAGGACAAAAAGAAATGGTTTGGGGTCCGTATGTGTACAGTCTTTAGTCCCCCCTTTTCTCTGAGGAGGTGGAAAGTGTTACCCCTGAAATGACTGCTCGGGCTGGAGGAGACGCATCAGTGAGTAAGGTGCTCGCTGCACAAGTCCAAGGTCCGGAGCTTGGATCCCCAGAATCCACAGAGAGCCAGATGCAGCAGTGCACATCTGTAATCGCAGTGGCTTCCAGTGCTCTTACTCACAGAGAGATGGGGGTCAGACAGGAGGTGCCCAGAAACCCTCCTAGGGAGTACATGAGCCAGGCATGCTTGCCCTTCCCCTAGTAAAGTCGGTGGGGATTTTTTGTATAGTCATACCTTACATGTATCCTTTTCTCTTTTCCTTTTTGTTGTTTTTGTTTGTTTGTTGAGACAGGGTTTCTCCGTGTATCCCAGCTGTCCTGGAACTCACTCTGTAGACCAGGCTGGCCTCGAACCAGAGACCTGCCTGCCTCTGCCTCCTGAGTGCTGAAATTAAAGGCGTGCGCCGCCACCACCTGACCCTAATACATATTCTTGTTTCTAATGAACCTAGTTACAACAAACTGAATTGTAGGTAAGGACAACCTCTAAGAAATCATCCAGCTATGGGCAGGCGAGAGGGTTCAGCTGGAAAGGCGCCTTATGCCAAGCCTGATGCCCGGAATTTGGTCCTCCCAAACAGTGCCAGGAAAGGACTGACTCCCACGAGATGTCCTCTGACCTCCATGTGTGTGCTGCACCGCACACACACACACACAGAGAGAGATAGAGAGAGAGAGACAGAGAGAGAGAGAGAGGAGAGAGAGAGAGAGAGACAGAGAGAGAGAGAGAGAGAGCGAGCACTTAAATAGAGGGAGACTCCTAATTCCAGATACCGAGGATAGCTACCGCAGCCTGACCAGGGACGCTTCACTCTGGGGTGTGCTCTGATTTAATTTACTTAAGAATAACCCATGAAGGGTCAGGGAGATAACACAGTGTGGAAAGGCACCTTGCTGTCACACCTAAGGACCCCCTGGTAGAAGGAAAGAAACAACTGCAAGTTGTCTTCTGCATCACACACACACACACACTCACACACACACACACACACACACGCACCACACACTCACACACACACACACACACACACACGAACGCATGTGTGCATGTGCACACACACAACACTGAGGAAATGTATTAACGAAAGGACAAATTACTGAAAGGATCAAACACAATTAGTGTGACCCACACTCTGGAGAGGACCATGAACACAGTAAAGCTCAAGGCTCTGGTCACAATCCAGGGTTCCCATACTGGCTAACCCTGAGACTCCCATCTTGGAAGCCTACTAGGCTATACACACGGTATTGTACTCAGTTCGTAAAGGCTCTGAATGGGAACTTCAGCCATTCCAAGCTTTGAAAGACAGCACACTGATCCTTTTAATAAGGCACATTTTGCCAGACTCCGTGGCACACACCTTTAATCCCAGCACTTGGGAGGAAAGAGCAGATCTCGGTAAGTTCGAGGCCAGCCTGGTCTTCAAAGTGAGTTCCGGGACAGCCAGGGATGTTACACAGAGGAACCCTGTCTCTAAAAACCTAAATAAATAAATAAATAAATAAATAAATAAATAAATAAATAGCTTACATTTGAGGACTTGGAAAATGGCGTAGGGAGTAAATGTGCCTGCTGCCAGGCCTGCTGACCAGAGTCCAGTCTCTGAAGGAGAGGACTGAGTCCCAAAAGCTGTCCTCTGACTCCACATGTATGCTACAGCATACACACATGCACATACACGTATACCTACACACCATACAAACAGATGTGACAAAAATGTATTTTTTGAATGGATTTCAACTAGGTGTGGCAGTGTATGTGTTTAATTCCAGCACTAGAGAGGCAGAGGCAGGCAGATGTCTGAGAATTTGAGACTACATAGTGAGACTGAGACGCTGCCTCTAAAAAGAGAACTTCAGGCTCAGCAGGCAGCGTCACTTGCTGCTAGACTGAGGACCTGAGTTTGATATCCAGGGCCTCCCACATGGTGGGAGGAGAAGCACGACTCCTCCAGGTTTTCTTCTGAATCTGGGGTATACACACACACATAGATGATGATGATGATGACAATGAAGATGGGTGAATGGATGGGTGGGTGAATGGGTGGGTGGGTGGGTGAATGGGTGGATGGGTGGGTGGGTGGGTGGGTGGATGTGGTATCAGTTACTTTTCTTATTGCCATGACAAAATACCTAGCAAAGCGTCTTAAGGAAGGAAAGGTCATTGTGGCTCACAGTCCAAGGACACACCCCTTCATGGTGAGGAGGACATGGTCACAGGAGCCTGGAGCAGTTAATCACATTGTGTCTGCCATCAGGGAGCAGAGACGGCTTGCTTTCTCCTTTTCCATTTAGTCAGAGACCCCAGCCCATAGGATGGTATCATATATGCCCATGGTGGGACTTCTCAGCTCAACTAACCCAGTCTAGAAAACCCTTTATAGAGATGCTAAAGGCCTGTCTCCATGATGATTCTAGACACTGTCAAACTGACAATCATGCTATCCATCATATCTTCTAAGGAATTCAATGAATCCCTGGTGCTGGGTGCAATAAACCTGACACCAAGAGAAAAACCTGAATAAAATCCCTGGTTTAACTGTTCACACAGTGGGTTTCTCTGTAGCTTTGAAGACTGTCCTGGAACTCGCTCTTGTAGACTAGGCTGGTCTCAAACTCACAGAGATCCGCCTGTCTCTGCCTCCTGAGTGCTGGAATTAAAGGTATGTGCCACCACTGCCCTGCTTAAAATTAGTGGTCTTTGAAGTCTACTAAGGGGCTGAGATGTAGTTCCATCCCTGGCACCACATAAACCAAGTGTGGTGACTCATGCCTGTAACTCCAGGGCTTGAGGCATAGAAGTTGAAGGGCAGCTTGGGATACGGGAGATCCTGTCTCAAACTGTCAGTCATAATGTCTACTAAAAGCAAGGAACGTTAGGGATGTGTTTAGGTTTTCCCTTGACTTCACAGGATGTAGTCTACCAGGCCCACACTTTGGGCACATTCAGAACTTTTGTAGAAAGAAGATTTCATTCTTACAACACCCAAATCCCCTGCTGACACCAGGGTAGGGTGTCACCGTATACTGTAAGAACATCTTCAAGCCATCTACCGCCTGCTATACAGACCTCCGCCCCACTACTATTCTTTCACCTGAGGGGCATACAGGGTCTCAGTGCTAAGACTGGCTCTCTCTGCTCCCAGCAGCTCCTGTGTGTGAAGCCTGTGACCACACCTCTGCCCAGCCGGCTTGTGCGTCTGTTTTCAACACTGTTTGAGGAAGAATTCTCTAAAGCTCTCTAATTGGCTGTGGAATCACCTCCCCTGGGCAGGATGCCAAGCCTCAAGGAGAGAGCTGTGTGTCCTATGTAGACTTTCCTGCCAGGCACTACAGCAGCAATGGTGCCTGTCCTGCTATCTCTGCCTCTCCTCCTGGGTCCTGCAGTGCTTCAGGAGACTGGTGAGTGGACAAAACAGAGAAGATTAGGAGAGAAGCAAAGAGAAGGCAGAGAACAAGACTCTGAGCCGTAAGAAGGGTCCCTTGTGTAACTGAGATTCCCATATGTGCAGTGGATTGTATAGCTGCCAGTTACGAGATCACCTTTGTAGAAGCATTCGGGAAGTCACTGGGCTTGAGTTAAAGACCTTAAAGAGTATGAACCTAAGGGCTAACAGTGTAGCTCAGTAGACAGGATGCTGTGCAAGCCTGAAGCCTTGGGGTTCACTACCCAGCACCACAAAAACCGTGTACCTCATTCCTGTAATACCAGCATGTGGAACAGGAGGATCAAAAGTTCAAGGCAAGCCTGCGCTAAATAATGGATTTTTTAAAGAAGAGTCAAGAATCTGAATCTAAAATCCAGATCAGGGCTGGGGAGATGGCTTAGTGGATAAGGCGTTTGCTGTATGATCTTGAGGACTTGAATTCGGATCCCTAGAACCTACAGAAATCCAGATGTGGTCACATCTGTCTGTAATCTCAGCTCTCAGAAAGCAAGGCAGAGGAATCCCCAGAAGCTCATGGGCCAGCTAATGTGGCGTGCACAGCGACAGACCAGGTGGAAGGCAGGACTGACCCCGAGCTCGCCCTCTGACCCTCATGCACACTATGGCACACTCGTGAATACACACCCCCACACAGATACACAAATGACTTTTGTCATTCAGATGGGGACAAATATAACTAAAGAGGCAGAGCGACCTGCCTCTGAATAAGGGCCACATGGCATCTCCTCTGCTCCCCCCCTTCCATGGGCTGGACACATGCCATTTCCTCTGTCCCCCCTCTTTCCATGGGCTGGACACATGCCATCTCCTCTGTCCCCTCCCCCCTCTTTCCATGGGCTGGACACATGCCATCTCCTCTGCCCCCCCCTTCCATGGGCTGGACACATGCCATTTCCTCTGCCCCCCCCTTCCATGGGCTGGACACATGGCATCTCCTCTGCTCCCCCCCTTCCATGGGCTGGACACATGCCATTTCCTCTGTCCCCCCCCCTTCCATGGGCTGGACACATGCCATTTCCTCTGTCCCCCCCCCTTCCATGGGCTGGACACATGGCATCTCCTCTGCTCCCCCCCCTTTCCATGGGCTGGACACATGGCATTTCCTCTGTCCCCCCCCCTTCCATGGGCTGGACAGACTTGTCTGACTCGGGGGAAATGGAAGGGAATCCCAGGGAAAAATACTGAGGCAGGCTAGAAGATTCTCTGAGGAAACCAGGACGTTCCTCCGAAGTGACACGGAACCTGGGAGACCCTCAGTTCCAGGACAGGGAATGAAACTGTTCACTGCACACAAAATTTTGGATGAAGATTTCTAAACTGTGCCAGTTCAAAAACTTGGTACATTCCCAGAATGCTACATAGTTATTTGTGTCTGTTTTGTAACAAGGCATTGTGTTTAGAATGTTAAGTATATTCTAAAGGGGCTGTAGAGAGGGCTCAGTGCTTAAGAGCACTTGTTGCTCTTGCAGAGGACCTGGGTGTACTTCCCAGAACCAACCCATATGGCAGTTTATAACTGGCTGTAACTCTAGTCCCATGGGAACCAATGACCTTTTCTGGCCTCTTTGAGCAGAAAATTATATACACATGCAGTGTGCATAATTTTTAAAATAAATATTTAACATTAAGTATATTCTATGCAAAAATATGAATTGGCAAGAGACCGCTAGAGAAATAGAACTAATGGGATAGATATGGATGGATAGAGGGATGGATGGATGGATGGATGGATGGATGGATGGATGGATGGACAAACAGAAATAAATAAGGAGGGATAGACAGATGATGCTTGGATGAATAGATATACAGGAAGATATAGGCAGGTGATGGATAGGTGGGTGAATATAAGACAGACAGGCACTCGAGAAAAAAAAAGACAGACAGACAGACATAGTTACAGAGTGGCAGAGATAGGTCCCTAGAGTTTATTTATGGTCCAATCTGCCTGGACTGATGAACTCCACGTCCAGTGAGAGACACTATCTCAAAAAAACAAGGTGGCAGACCAGAGAGATGGCTCAGCAGTAATAGCACTCACCACCAAGCCTGGTAACTAACGTTGATTCCTGGGACCCACATGGTAGAGAGAACCAACTCCTACAGGCTGTCCTCTGACTGCTACACACACACTGGCATTTGTATGCATGTGCATGCACAAGTCTCTCTGTCTCTCTGTCTCTGTTTCTCTCTGTGTGTCTGTCTGTCTGTCTGTCTCTCTCTCTCTCACACACACACACACATTTTTAAATTTTTAAAAGGTGGAAGCCAATGAAGGAAGACATCCCAACTTGACTTCCTCCCGCTACGTCATGCACATGTGCTCACACCCACAAGAACACATACATATATCATGGACAATACACACACACAAATAATTTAATGTGCAAATTAGAGAGTACAGCGTTGAGACAACACAGAACAGTTTCTGACATGACATCCCCAGTAACAATAGAGCCCCTTCACATGTGTGAACCTCACTCAGTGCGAGCTGGCAGTAAGAGAAGGGAGGAAAGGCCAAGTCCTCCTTCCCTCCCTCCCGGGCTCTGCAGCTCCCAAGTGGGTCTCCTGTGCATAAGCCCCACCCTTAGAATCTTCTCCTCTTCCGCAGGTCCTTATTCTCTGGTCTTCCTCTACACGGGCTTGTCCAGGCCCAGCAAAGGCATCCCCAGGTTTCAAGCCACCGCGTTTCTCAATGACCAGGCCTTCTTCCATTACAACAGCAACAGCGGGAAGGCGGAGCCTGTGGGGCCATGGAGCCAGATAGAAGGAATGGAGGACTGGGAGAAGGAGAGCCAGCTGCAGAAGGCCAGGGAGGAGATCTTCCTCGTGACCCTGAAAGACATCATGGACTATTACAAGGACAGTGCAGGTCAGTGAGCTATTACAGACCAATGAGAGGCCGCCCTGTGAATAGGAGTGGAAAGGATTCCACAGAGTGGAACTAATCACACACACACACACAGAGGGGGTGCAGGGAACACTGGTAGATGTGCACAGGTCCATCTACACCAACCCCACACACCACACCCACACCCACACCACACCCACACCCACATCACACACCCACACCCCACACCCACACCCCACACCTCACACCCACACCCACACCCACACCACACACCCACACCCACACCCCACACACCCCACACCCACACCCCACACGCCACACTCACACCCCACACCCACACCACACACCCACACCCCACACCCACACCCCACACACCACACCCACACCCCACACCCACACCCACACCCACACCCCACACCTCACACCCACACCCCACACTCACACCCACAACCACACCCCACCCCCCACACCCCACACCCCACACCCACACCCACAAACCACACCCAACCCCACACCCACACCCCACACCCCACACCCACACCCACACCCACACCCACACCCACACCCCACACCCACACCCACACCCCACACCTCACACCCACACCCACACACCACACCCACACCCCACACCCACACCCACACCCACACCCCACACCTCACACCCACACCCCACACTCACACCCCACACCCACCCCACACCCCACACCCCACACCCACACCCACAAACCACACCCAACCCCACACCCACACCCCACACCTCACACCCACACCCCACACTCCACACCCACACCCCACCCCCCACACCCCACACCCCACACCCACACCCACACCCACACCCCACACCCACACCCCACACCCACACCCACACCCACACCCCACACCTCACACCCCACACCCCACACTCACACCCACACCCACACCCACACACCCACACCCACACCCACACCACACCCACACCCCACACCCCACACCTCACACCCCACACCACACCACACCCACACCACACCCACACCCACACCCACACCCCACACCCACACCCACACCCACACCCCACACCCCACACTCACACCCACACCACACCCACACCCCACACCCACACCCACACCCACACCCCACACCCCACACCCACACCCACACCCACACCCACACCCCACACCCCACACCCACACCCACACCCACACCCCACACCCCACACCCACACCCCACACCCACACCTCACACCCACACACCCACACCCACACCCCACACCCCACACCCCACACCCACACCCACACCCACACCCACACCCACACCCACACCCCACACCCACACCCCACACCCCACACCCCACACCCACACCCCACACCCCACACCCACACCCCACACCCCACACCCCACACCCACACCCACACCCCACACCTCACACCCCACACCCACACCCACACCCACACCCCACACCCCACACCCACACCCACACCACACCCACACCCACACCCCACACCTCACACCCACACCCACACCCACACCCCACACCCACACCTCACACCCCACACCACACCCACACCCACACCCACACCCACACACCCCACACCCACACCCACACCCCACACCCACACCCCACACCCCACACCCACACCCCACACCCACACCCACACCCACACCCCACACCCCACACCCCACACCCCACACCCACACCCACACCCCACACCCACACCCCACACCCACACCCACACCCACACCCCACACCCCAGACCCACACCCCACACCCCACGCTCACACCGACACTCACACCCACACCCACACCACACACGCACACCCCACACCCCACACCCCACACCCACACCCACACCCACACCCACACCACACACCCACACCCCACACCCACACCCCACACCTCACACCCACACCCACACCCACACCCCACACCCATACCCCACACACACACCCCACACCCACACCCCACACCTCACACCCACACCCACACCCACACCCCACACCCCACACCTCACACCCCACACCACACCAACACCCACACCACACCCACACCCACATCACACACCCACACCCCACACCCACACCCCACACCCACACCCCAAACCCCACACTCACACCCCACACACCACACCCACACCCCACACCCACACCCACACCCCACACCCCACACCCCACACCCACACCCACACCCACACCCCACACTCACACCCCACACCCACACCCACACCCACACCCCACACCCCAGACCCACACCCCACACCTCACACCCCACCTCACACCCACACCCACACCACACACGCACACCCCACACCCCACACCCCACACCCACACCCACACCCACACCCACACCACACACCCACACCCCACACCCACACCCCACACCTCACACCCACACCCACACCCACACCCCACACCCATACCCCACACACACACCCCACACCCACACCCCACACCCCACACTCACACCCCACACCTCACACCTACACCCACATCCACACCCACACCCACACCTCACACCCACACCCACACCCACACCCAAGCCCCACACCTCACACCTACACCCACACCCACACCCACACCCACACCACACCCACACCCCACACCCCACACCCCACACCCACACCCCACACCCACACCTCACACCCACACCCCACACCCACACCACACACCCACACCCCACACCCCACACACCCACACTCACACCCACACCCCACACCCACACCCACACCCCACACCCCACACCCCACACCCACACCACACCCCACACCCCACACACCAGACCCCACACTCACACCCCAGACCTCACACCCACACCCACACCCACACCCACAACCACACCCACACCCACACCCACAACCACACCCCACACCCCACACCCCACACCCACACCCCACACCCACACCCCACACCCACACCCACACCCCACACCCACACCCACACCTCACACCCACACCCACACCCACACCCCACACCCATACCCCACACACACCCCACACCCACACCCCACACCCCACACTCACACCCACACCCACACCCCACACCCCACACCCCACACCCCACACTCACACCCACACCCCACACCCCACACACACACCCACACCACACCCACACCACACCCACACCCACACCCCACACCTCACACCCACACCCACACCCACACCCCACACCCCACACCTCACACCCCACACCACACCAACACCCACACCACACCCACACCCACATCACACACCCACACCCCACACCCACACCCCACACCCCACACCCACACCCACACCCCACACCCCACACTCACACCCCACACCCACACCCACACCCACACCCCACACCCCACACCCCACACCCCACACCCACACCCACCTCACACCCACACCCACACACACCACACCCCACACCCCACACCCACACCCACACCCACACCCACACCACACACCCACACCCCACACCCACACCCCACACCCACACCCACACCCACACCCCACACCCACACCCCACACCCACACCCACACCCACACCCCACACCCACACCCACACCCACACCCCACACCCACACCCCACACCACACCCACACCCACACCCACACCCACATCACACACCCACACCCCACACCCACACCCCACACCCACACCCCAAACCCCACACTCACACCCACACACCACACCCACACCCCACACCCACACCCACACCCCACACCCACACCCCACACCCCACACCCACACCCACACCCCACACCCCACACCCACACCCACACCCACACCCACACCCCACACCCCAGACCCACACCCCACACCCCACACTCCACACACCACACCCACACCCACACCACCACACCCCACACCCCACACCCACACCCACACCCACACCCACACCCACACCCACACCCACACCCCACACCCCACACCCACACCCACACCCACACCCACACCCCACACACCACACACCCACACCCACACCCCACACCCCACACTCACACCCCACACCTCACACCTACACCCACATCCACACCCACACCCACACCTCACACCCACACCCACACCCACACCCACGCCCCACACCGCACACCTACACCCACACCCACACCCACACCCACACCACACCCACACCCCACACCCCACACCCCACACCCACACCCCACACCCACACCTCACACCCACACCCCACACCCACACCACACACCCACACCCCACACCCCACACCCCAAACCCACACTCACACCCACACCCCACACCCACACCCACACCCCACACCCCACACCCCACACCCACACCACACCCCACACCCCACACACCAGACCCCACACTCACACCCCAGACCTCACACCCCACACCCACACCCACACCCACAACCACACCCCACACCCACACCCACAACCACACCCCACACCCCACACCCCACACCCACACCCCACACCCACACCCCACACCCACACCCACACCCACACCCCACACCCCACACCCACACCCACAACCACACCCCACACCCACACCCCACACCCACACCCCAAACCCCACACTCACACCCCACACACCACACCCACACCCCACACCCACACCCACACCCCACACCCCACACCCCACACCCCACACCCCACACCCACACCCCACACCCACACCCCACACCCCACACCCCACACCCACACCCCACACCCACACCCCACACCCCACACCCACACCCCACACACCACACCCACAACCACACCCCACACCCCACACCCACACCCACAACCACACCCCACACCCACACCCCACACCTCACACCTCACACCTCACACCCACACCCACAACCACACCCCACACCCCAAACCCACACCCCACACCCCACACCCACAACCACACCCCACACCCCACACCCACACCCACAACCACACCCCACACCCACACCCACACCCACAACCACAAACCACACCCCACAACCACACCCCACACCCACACCCAACCCACACCCCACACCCACACCCACACCCACACCCCACACCCACACCCACACCCACACCTCACACCCCTCACCCACACCCCACACCCCACACCCACACCCACACCCACACCCCACAC